AGGAAGCCCTGCAGACTTCTGCACTGGTCAGCCAGTTTCCGAATTTGCTCTAAGACCAGGTCAGTGATCTCTTTGCCAATGATATAGTGCCTACGGGCATAGTTATTGGCAGCATCTTCCTTGCCTGTGATGCGCTGATCAGGGTGGAAAAGCTGGCAGTATGTAGCAGCACATACTTCATCCACGACTGCAGGTTCCAGGTCTACAAACACGGCCCTGGGCATGTGTTTGCCAGCACCAGTCTCACTGAAGAAGGTGTTGAAGGAGTCATCTCCACCCCCAATGGTGTGGTCACTTGGCATCTTGCCATCAGGCTGCATGCCGTGTTCCAGGCAGTAGAGCTCCCAGCAGCATTGCCAATCTGGACACCAGCCTGGCCAATGTGGATGGAGATGCACTCACGCAGGATGGGACATGTGGGGTCAGTGGCCAGAGAGGGCAAGTGGATCAGGCGAGGAGGTCTCCCCGTGACAGACGGCAGGGAGTCCGGAGGGAGAAGCAAGGCCTCAGCTTCCTTTGGGTTGATCAAGATATTTTCTTTTTGACACTCAGGTAGCATCTGTAGACTCATTCTTTCCACTCTTCATATGCTTCTGTGTAGAACACGACATGTACCAGATTGATTCCTATTTTTATTTTTGTGTGTGCATTTATTTTGAGATAGGGTCTCAGTATGCAGTTCTGGCTAGACTTGAACTCACCGTGTAGCCCAGGCTGGCCACATATTCAAGAGATGCTCCTGCTTCTGCCTCATGAGTGCAAGGATTATAGATGCATGCAGCCAGGTCCAGTATATTTCCTGTTTTGAGTGCTGTACTAACCAGATTCTTCAGAGCAGCCAGATCAGGAGAACAGTATCATACTGTTTGGATTGGGGAACACTACTTTGGGCTTTTTTCTTTGTTTGGGCATTTTTTGGGATATGTTTTAATTTCATAAATTATCTTTGCTTTCCAGAAATTATAACTTAATTTTGTATCTTTTCAAGGTCACTTTAATATGTTTTTCTTTAAAATTTTATTTATGAATATTTTCTTATTTCTGGATTTTTTAATGCTGTTTCCATATTTTATTTTCTGTTTTTCTCCCTATTATTGTTTTTTTTTAGTATAAAGAAAAAAAATTTCAAAACATGATAATAAGAAGGTAACAATGGTTAATACACTTAAATTAGTTACACAAAATACATGATATCGGCATTTAATTGTATAAGTTCAAGTCAGGGACTGTGATATCCCCTGTCTTGCCTTTGTTGCCCAGAATTGCCTTTGCTATTCGATTCCAAATGAATTTTAGTATTATTTTCTCTAATTATGTGAGATATACTATTGGAATTTAGATCGGAATCACATTAAATTTATATAACAGTTTTAGAAATGTGGCAATTTTCAATATACAGGGTCTTCCTACCCAAGAGCAAGGGATATCTTTTCATTTTCTGATACCCACGTCAATCTTCTTTTTCAGAGTACTGTAGTTTTCAGTGTAGACGTCTTTTACATCCTTCATTAGATTTATTCCTAGGTATTTTACTTTTTTATATGATATTGTGAAAGGTGGTGTTTCTCCAGTTTCTTCCAGTGAGTTTGTTATTTGTGTACAGGAATGCCATTGATTTTTATGTGTTGATTTTTGTATCCAGGTATGCTGCTGAATTTGCTTATTAAATCTAGCAGTTTTTTTACTTAAATCTTTTTTTTTTTTCTCCAGTACCGGGAACCGAACTCACAATGTTGCGCTTGCCAGGCAGGCGCTTTGCCACTGAGCTAAATCCCCAGCCCCTCTAGCAGTTTTTTAATGGAGTTTTTGGGGTCTTCTATGTAGAGAATCCTGTCCTCTGCAAATAATGATAATTTCACTTGTTCCTTTCTTTTTATTAATTTTATTTCTTCCTGTAGTCTAATTGCTCCAGCTAAATTTTCCAGGACTATGTTAAACAAGACTGGAGACAGTGGACATCCTTGTCTTGTTCCTGATTTGGAAAAAAAGCTTTCTGTTTTTTGTCCATTTACTTTGATGTGGGCAGTTGTTTCATCATGGATGACTTTTATCAAATTGAAATAAAGAACATCAATTCCAATTTTCCATAGGTTTTTTTTTTTTTTTTTTTAAATTGAAATAAAGAACATCAATTCCAATTTTCCATAGGTTTTTTTTTCTTTTTTATCGTGAATGGGTACTGGAGTTTGTGAAAACTTTTTCTGTATCTACTGAGATGATCATATGATTTTTGTTTTTGGCTCTGTTAATATGGTGTATTATATTTATTGATTTACCTATGTTGAGGTATCCCTGAATCCCTGGAATGAATCCTACTTCATGATGGTGTTTAATCTTCTTGATGATTTGCAGCATTCTGTTTGCCAGTATCTTACTGAGGATTTTTGGATCTGTAATCATGAGGGAGATTGGCCTATAACTCTCTTTCTTATTTAGGTCTGTCTCCTGTTTTGGTGTCAGGGTAATGCTTGCTTTGAGGAATGAATTTGGGAGTATTGCTTCCCTTTCAATTTCATTAAAGAGCTTGAGAAGTAGTAGTGTTAGGTCTAATCTAAATTTCTTGTAGAATTCAGCAGTGAATCAGTCAGGGCCTGGGCTTTTTTTTGTTGCTTTGTTTTGTTTTTTTTTTTTCCTTTTTGAGACAAGGTCTCACTCTCCAGTTCAGGCTGGCCTTGATCTCACTTTGTAGCCAGGCTGGTCTCAAACTTGCAATGATCCTCCTGCCTCAGCCTCCCGAGTGTTGGGATTACAGTCATGTGCCACTATGCCCACTATGCCCTTAATTACATCATTGATCTCACTGATTGTAATTAGTTTATTTATGATTTTTATGTCATCTTAATTCAGCTTTGGTAATTCATATGTGTGGAGGAATCTGTGCATTTCTTCTGCATATTCTATCTTATGAGAATACAGGTTTTCAAAGTAGGTATAGATGATCTTCTAGATTTCTGAAGGATTTTTGTGTGTGTGTGATTTCACCCTTTTCTTTCCTATTTGCATGGATTTGAGATTTTTCTTTCCTTCATTTGATAGCATTGGTAAGGGTTTGTTGATTTTCTTTAATCTTTCAAAGGACAAACTCTTTGATTCATTGATTCTTAGTATTTTTTTTAAGTCTCCAGTGTGTTAATTTCTGCTCTGATCTTTATAATTTTCTCGTTCATATGAGCTTTGTCTTAGTGTACCTTTCTTGCTCTAGAAATTTGAGGTTTGTCATTAAGTTGTTTTTTGTGCTTGCTCTGTTTTCCTGATATGGGTATTCACTGCTATAAATGTACCTCTTAGGATTGCTTTCATTGTGTCCCATAAGTCTGATATAAGTTTTATTGTCATTATCATTTAATTTTAGAAACTGTTGAATTTCTTCTTTAATTTCATCAGTGACCCACTGGTTGTTCAGGAGGGTACCATTTAATTTCCATGTGCATCATGCATAACTATTCTGTTTACATGTGGAACCTGAGAAGGCTGCCTTGCTCTCCTGAGATCCATTTCTCATCCTTTCTACAAAACATGTATTGTGACAAAATGTGTTACATGAATATGTTTTATATAAAGTGTGCAAGTTATCGCCTTGGTCATGAGGTGCTGAATGTTGTCAGTCTTCTGTTATACTGCACAGTTGTAGCTTTTTGAACACTGCAAAGAAGTGACTTGTAAATGACACAATGTTTTCTTTAAGTTCTCTTTTTATGGGGGTAGTCTGACACAGGACTTCACTTTGAGATCTTGGTGGGCCTTGATGTTACCTGAGAGCTGGGGCTGGATTTTGAACTCCTGGCAATGATCAGATTCATGGAAATCCTCCTATATTAGTCTCCCAAGTGCTGATACCATATATTAAATTTATCTGAAAGTAATCAAAGTGCTTTATTTTCAGAGCAAAAGAGGCATGTACTTAGTATGTATTTCAAAATCTAGATGGTACACTCTTGTATTTTACCTACATAAGTAACATAACCTGAAGTTTTCCTTTTGTTAATTAGTGCCAAATGGCTTTGGGATATCTTCCTTTTGAATGTGTTCAATATATTTTATACAGGTACTGCCCCACATTAATCTCACTTAGACAATCCTAGGAATTCTTGTATCTGAGTACAGGGTGAACATTTAGTGTAACTAATCTGTAAGAAAATATGCCACCTGATCCCTAGTTTTTGTCCATCGACTTGTTCCAAAAATATTGTTTTTCTATTGCCATTTTAATATTATTAATAAAACTTTTTTTTCTTTTTTGGTATTCTTTTGATATATGTAGTCAAAACATTCATCTTGGGAACTTGTACTTGTACATAGTATATCTTGCTTTTATTTTCTTCCACTCTCCTGCCATCCCTTCAGACCCTCTCCCTCTCTTTATTTGTAACACTGTTTCCTTTTGTACTATTCTTTTTTCTTGTCCCTTCTTTCCTTCCCCCCACCTCTCCAGTGTCCCCCTACTCATTTAAACATTTTCTTCTCAGATTCCTCAAAAATCAAAAACTAGAGAATCCATTTGACCCAGGTATTCCCTTTCTTGGTTTCTCCCCAAAAGAATTAAAGGCATCAGACCACAGTGATATGTAAACACCCATGTTTATACTGGAGTAGTTGGTAATAGGTAAATTTTGAAAACATCCCAAATGTCCATCAACTGTCTTTTTTTAATAAAGTGGAGTACTACTGTGCCCTAAAGAAGTATAAGCTTGAAGCATTACTAGCTAAATGGGTGGACTTTGACATCATACTCTCAAGTGAAGCAAATTGGACACACATGTGTAAATGTACATGGTTTCTCTGGTGTGACAAACCAAAGAGTAAATAAGGAACAAAATGCATATACTTTATTTAATGTTCAGTAAAGTTTTTTTTCTAAAAATACTGCCTACGTAGAGTCTAAAAAAGAATGAGTTAGTTGTAGGAATAATCAGATTTGAATGGAGGGATAATCTGTGGTCTGTCGTAACCATTCATTGATATTTTTCTACCCCCCCCTTTTTTGAAATACTCATTTGCAGGCTGCCTTTATGAACTCTACTTTGGAAACAGTGCACAAATGCGACTTCTGTTACTCTACCAGGCAAGCAGTGCTTCTATTTTGTTGTTGGTCTGAAAGAGAGAAGCAATCTAGCAATAGAATTGCTTGTGAAGATATGTGTGTACATATGGGTTTTGTGACAAACATGGCATTTTATTTGATGGAAGAACCTCAATTCAGCATTTACAAGAGAAATTCAAATTCTCAGGGTAGGAGTGTCAACCTTTTTTCAAGAAATATATATGTGGTTATTTAGGAGGCAGTGACCATGGAGGATGTAATGGTGACCTTCATCAAGGAGGAGTGGCCTCTGCTGAATACATCCCAAAAGAAGCTCTACAGAGATGTGATGTGGGAAACATTTAGGAATATAAATGCTATAGGTAAGGATGACATCGTTTTCTCATATATACAATGAAAGAATATTGGGTCTTGCTGATGGGTACAGATTTGTTAAATAGAATGTGAAAACATTTTGAACAGTATCTCCATCCTTTTTACATTATACCATGAATCTAACTGCTAATTTTATATAATGATGTGATGGCTTTTTGTATTTCTCTGTGTACAATTCAGGAAGAACTTGGGACAACCAGCGAGTGGAAGACAAATACAAAAATTACTCAAGAAATGTAAGGTAATTTCCAGTCAAAAGGAAAAGCAATATTTCTCAAGAGTCTGTATGTGAACAGAAATATTACAAGCAAACTTTACAAGCAAATCAGGCCAATTTCAAATTTATTTAATGTCACAAAAAATTTTCCGATATGCATACAGATTGATTTTGTATAACTTGAAACTGAATGCAGAAATATTTCAGTGTAGGAAATTAAGTTGGTGACATTGTGCCACAAGAGATGCTATCTCATACATTTGTATAAAGAGAAATTCTTTCATGATCAACATCAAGAAAATGTATGGAAGGGCTGGGGATATCTCAGTGGCATAAGCCCCTGCCTGGCAAGCGTAAGGTCGTGAGTTTGATCCCTGATACCACAAAAAACAAAAAAACAAACAAACCGAAAAAAGAAAATGTATGAAGTTGCATTTAGCTACTGTGTATAGGCATATATGAAAAGAGTAAATCTTGAACTGTGGCAGGAATTCATCCTCAAGGTACCTGTTTATGTATATAAATGAATATGAGACGTACATTATCTAAAACACTGCTAACCAAAGAGCACCATTCAAAATCCATGTGCATGTTAGTGTTTTGTTATGTGTGAAAACATCCTCTGGAGAGCTGTGTGCATTCATGCTTTAAAATTCTTAGAATCCACCCTTAAACATTATTGGTAAGAATATAAAACAGAACTACTTTTATATTCAATATACAGATGTCTCAAAAAATAAAAGTAAAAGTTTGCTTTTTGAAAAATTTTGGTACCAGGAATCAAACTCAGGACCTTGCACTTGCCAGGCAGGCACTTCTTCCACTATATCCCCAGCCCAAAAGTTTGCATTTGATCCAGGCGAAACCCTCTATGTATATTCTGAAGGTATTTAAAAGTATCATATCTTAGTGATACCCATGTACTTAAGCTCAAAGCATGGTTTGCATGGATATTCGCAACAGCGAAGTTCTGGAACTAATTCATAATACCTAAGCTCTGGTAACAGACTAGGTGTCAATCACTGTAGGTATGGAAAAGGAGAATGTGGAATAGGCTCAACATGTTGGTGCTGTCATATAAGCACAGCACTCTGGTAAGCTGAGCCAGCAGGATGACAACACGAAGTTCACCCTGACCAAATGAATGATCATTGAAAATCTCTCTCAAAAGAAGAAATAAAAAAACCCCTAGAAATGTATTTTATTGTTTCATTCTCAACACTATATATATATAGTCAGCCAAAAAAGAAGGATATTCTATCTAGTTAAAAAAAAAAGATGTACTCTACCTCACAATGATAAATATATTAAATATGCTTTTTGAAGGCATCCCCCATGGCGTTCAGCCTATTCACTCTGAAAATTTCTTAGCATGCATCAAGCCTAAATTGTCCTACAAAATTACTGACATGGAGACCTTTTCATTGTCACTGCTATTTTGTTTCTTAACAGAAATGAAGAGGAAGCAAAATTCTATCAATATACAATTTACAATCAACAGGAAAACATATTCCTTCAAACTCCACATGATAGTATGGACATGCAGGAAGCTGCTTTAAAGCCATGTGGAAGTCTTGTTTGTAGAGAGCCCCTGACTGGGCATTTATCAATAAATGTGCACATCTCACCTCACCCTGGAGAGAAACCACATGAGTAGTTGGGATTTGATGACAAGCTGACTAAAGGTAATGAACATGGGAAAACCAGCAGTGATTTCCAATCCTTTGAGAAGCACGCAAGGTCAACGAATGGACAGGCACCGTATCGGTATGAGAAATGTGGGAAATCCTACTCTGAACTTAGTGAAAGAACTCACCCTCGAGAGAAGACCATTGTTGGTCAGAATAGTGTGAAAGACTCCCACACCCACAATGGTCTTCAAATCCATGAAAGAATTCACACTGGGAAGAAGCCATACATATGCACGCAATTTGGAAAAACCTTCAACACTCAAACTTATAAAATTCTTGAAATGATTCACATGGAAGAAAACCCCTATGCATGTAAACAATGTGGAAAAGCATATCATACACACAGTTGTTGCCAAAGACATGAAAGTAGTCATACTGGGGTGAAACCTTATATAGGTAAGCAATGTGGGAAATCCTTGAGCAGACACACTCAATGTCAAAGCCATGAAAGTACTGATAATGAGGAGACAATTTATGTATGTAAACAGTGTGGGAGAGCTTTCACCAAAGTTATTATCAAACACATGAAAGAACTCACTGTGAGGAGAAACCCTATGTGTGCAAGCAATGTGGAAAAACATTCACTACAAAGAAATATTCTAAAATACATGAAAAAATTCACACAGGGGAGAAACCTTATGTGTGCAAGCACTGTGGGAAAGCATTCACTACAAAGTGTTCTTATACTGTACATGAAAGAACTCACACTGGGGAGAAACCTTACATGCGCAAGCAATGTGGGAAGGCATTCACTATAAGGAGTAATTATACAAGACATGAAAGGTCTCACTCTGGAGAGAAACCTTATGTGTGCAAGCAATGTGGAAAAGTATTCACTACAAAGACTTATTCTAACATACATGAAAGAATTCACACAGGGGAGAAAACTTATGTGTGTGAGCAACGTAGGAAGGCATTCACTACACACCTATCTTGTCAAATACATGAAAGAGCACACACTGGAGAGAAACCTTATGTGTGCAAGCCATGTGGGAAGGCATTCACTTCACACAAAGATTGTCAGATACATGAAAGAATTCTCACTGGAGAGAAGCCTTATGTGTGCAAGCAATGTGGAAAAGCATTCACTATGAGATGTAGTTATAAAAGACATAAAAGAACTCACACTAAGGAGAACCCTTATTGTGCAAGCAATGTGTAAAAATATTCAGCATATGGTGTAATTGTAAAATACATGAGAAGAGTTACACTGGAGAAATCATATGTGTGTAAGTAGTGCAGGAAGGCATTTGCTACACACCAGTATTGTCAGATTCATGAAAGACATTACACTGGGGAGAAACCTTATGTGCACAAGCAATGTGGGAAGGCATTCACTACACACTGATCTTCTCAAGAACATGAAAGAACACACAGTGGGAAGAACTGTTATGTGTTCAAGCAATGTGGAAAAGCATTCACAATAAGGAGGAATTATAAAAGCCATGAAAGAACTCACACTGGGGAGAAACATATTTGCAAACAATATGGGAAGGCATTTGCTACACACCAGTCTTGTCAAATATGTGAAAGAACTCACACAGACAAGAAACCATGTGCATATGAGGCATGTAGAAAAAGATTTGCTAGTAAGTCTTCATTTTATATACCTGATCTCACAAGGAGAGGAAACCTATGTATATAAACAATGTGGGAGAACCATTTATTGAACACATTTTTTATCAACTACATGAAAGATATCACATTGGAGAGTGACATTATATATGTAAGCCTATTTTGAAAAACCTGTGAAAATTCCTCATGTAATAGAGATCTGTACACATATAAATGAAAAATTTGATGTCACTATTTCTTCATGAGTTTTCCAGAAAATGCACTGCCAGACAGAGATCTCCTAGAATGTATTGTGTGTTTTTCAGTAAATCTTTTTTAAATAACTGAATTATGTATCTGTCATCTTTACTAGAAATAATATTGACATATTTTATGTAAACTATTTTCTTTGAACCTAATATATAGTATCTTCTAATAAAACAAGGTCAATTGAAGTGTATTTCTCACTTCCAAATAAGGTATTTTATGTAGTTTTGATTTTGTTTTGCATTTACTATTGGGAGGTATGGCCTGCTAGAATATTTTAATAGGTTTTTAATTGAGGTGTCCCACTAGTTTTGATTGTACTTTTCTTGGTGTATACACCTCATATTCTGTGTACAAATGATGACTTTGATGTTACAAAGTATGTGTAAATATATGCATATTGTAGAGACGTGAATATATTTTATAAAAGCTCATTTGTTTACAAACAACTTGTAGATTAGCAAATGTTTCATTTTTCATGTCTTAACTAGATGCCTATGTATATCCCAATTTAATTATATATAGCACATAATTTTGCCTATTTTGCTTTCATGTTGAAGTCAGTATTGTAATTTACATAAGATTTTGTTTTCTTAATATCAATATTTTACTTTTCATGGTTATATTTTATTACTTTTAATTCATTGGTAATTTTACCATAATTTATACCAAAGAATAAACCATACTTCTCCGAGTTTCTGACTGTAACAAATCAGATTGGCTGTGCCTTGTTTAATAAAGTATATCATGAGTTATATGTTAGTGTTTACTAGAGAAATAATTTCAATGTGTGATATACAATATGTGTGAATTTACAAGATTGGCTTACAGTCGCTGCCAACACACTCAGATGTGGAAGAGTGCAAAAAGTCTCTCTGGGCCCTGAATATCCAAAAAGTCCAGTTGAAGGAGTGGAATCCACTGTAGTGTCTCATACAAGTCCATGTGAGCAGAATAAAGGATCTGTTCCAGGAGACTGCAGCGTCTGAGCTAGAGACTGAAGAATCTGTGCTGGAAACCAGGTGATGGCTTCCAGGGTGACAGTGAACACTGGAGCTCCTCCACTGAAACACTTGTAAGCCTTCCTTTTTTTTTTTTTTTTTAAATAACATTCTGGCAACATTCCTCTCTAGAGTAGGTCCTCCACATCCATAATTTGCTGGGCAAATTTAGTTGGGCATGTAGTACTCAGCTTGACACAATTAACTATCACAATCCCCCTGACAACTTCACAACTACACACATTTCCTTAAACCATAGCTCCCAGATACAAGGATGAGTTCAGAGATATACCTAACATGTTATGTCTGCTCTGCATACAATTGGATTGTTACAGTTTTCCTTCAACTTTAATAACAGCATGGCAATGCTAGAAGACATTGTAAGGTCTTTAGTAAGGGATCTCCTGCACTCTCAGTATATTCTTTCTTTCCTCCATTGTGGAGTAATAGTCTAATTTGCCCTTGAAAATCTGGGTCAGTCACATCTTTAAGCACTTTATCTCCATCTTTAGAGTCTTTCCTCAGAATCATGAGATGAAAATGACAAGGGGAAAGTTTTCCCTTTCAGTTGATGGGCATCGCTGTTCTTCCTGGTACAAAAATTGCCCACTTTGGAACTATGCATAAACAGTGGTTAGCCTTTTTTCCCCTAATAGCTGAATTTCTAGTACAAACCATGAGGTGATAGGTGCATGTTGGGAAAGAAGGTGTTATAAAATTGTAGGAGCCATGGGCATCTGAGGAACTTCTTCATGTAACTTACTTATACCTTCTGGACATGCACTGTCTTGATCACACATACAGTTTCTATTTAAAGATAAATTGTTTTTGTGCAAAATCAACTTATTCCTTGGTGGATCAGACAAAACTGAGCTGATGCTAAGAGGCTCAGGTTGCCTGGTAACCTGGTGTACCATGGTCAACCCTTCACTTTCCACTATTGCTGAGTACCATGCCAAGAACTGTTTTGCAAAGGCTGCGTAGCTGTCTGCAGAAGATGGTAGAGTCTTACTCCAAAATCCTAAAGGTTTCCATAGCAATTGATATATGAGCACTTGCCAGAGACCACAGAGAGACTACAGGCAGCATCCCTACCAGCCACTGGCACTTTAAATATGAACTGCTGGATCATATGAGCCCGTAGGGCAGAGCAGTCTGCACAGCAAACATGGACCTGTTGGAGAGCCTTTTCTTCAAGGCCCCACTCAAACGTAGCATGTTTCTTAATCAGTAAATGAGCCAGAGTAAAGCACCTAAGTGAGGAATGTGTTGCCTCCAATATCCAAAGAGGCCCACTAGACATTGTGCCTCTTTCTTGGTTGTAGGTGAAGCCAAATCAACAACTTTTCCTTTACCTTAAAGGGATATTTGTACATGACCCACATGATTTGACTACTAGAAATTTCACTGAGAGGACCATCAATTTTAGTATGACTTATTTCCCGTCCCCAGGCTCTCATATTTTTAACTTACAAATCCACAGCAGTTTCTAAGTCCTTCTTACCTGGTCCAATGGGCATAATGTAGTGTAATATGGACATAATATAGTGCCTTGTGGAAGAGAAGGGCAATCAAGATTCCTGCAGATTAAGTTGTGACACAGGGCTGGAGAGTTAATATAACCTTGAGGTAGGACAATGAAGGTGTATTCCTGGTGTTTTTCACTGAAAGAAAATTATTTCAGATGACCCAATCCCAAATTAATAGCTGCATACCAACTACCAGGAGATGTGTTAATCTTCTCAAGTAAAGATACCATATCAGGTACAGGAGCTGCAATTGGAGTCAAAACAATTCAGTTTCTGGTAATGTACCATTATTCTTCAAAATCCATCCATGTTCTGCACAGACCAAATTAAAGCATTAAGTGGAGATGTAGTTGGCACAACCACTCCTGCATGTTTCAAGTGCTTGATAGTGGCAGTAATCTCAGCAGTCCCTATGGGAAAACAATATTGTGTATTTACTATTTGGCCCAGGAAAGGCAACTCTAATACCCTTGCATGGTAAGTTAATAGAATGCTTTGTTTATTGTGTCATCTTTATTAATATTTCAGTATACTTAAGAATATTTTGTAGAAGAATATTTTAGGAAGTATATAATCATATGTAGCATACTTGGAGAGATAAGAGCTGAAAGCATTTCTGTGACTCTTAACGTGTCTCTACATACACTTTACTGAAGCATTTGTTTGAAATTCTACTGTATCCTGCCTCTCTTGGGGTCTGCTTCAGGGTCATATTCCATGGCTTTTTAATCTTTCTTCTTTGGTCTGGTCTTTCTCTCTGCCACTGAATATTTCCCATAGGAAAGCATTCATCATGTGATATTTTCTTGTCCACAATATGCTCAGAACTTTATCATGACCCCTATCATGAGGCATCTATGTTTGGATTAAAATATTAAAGTATAAGGAAAGTATCGGTCCTATATCTATTACCCTTGAAAACATTCTAGGTTCCTAGTACTACGAGAAAAAATGTTTGAGTGCCATATTAAATGTGATAGGAGTGGACAATCCAGGGAAAATTTGGTTTCCTTGATGGAGCAAAGACATACTTGATCTGTGTACACTTACCTTGATGTGCTCATGTCCCAAATATGAAAACTGAGATACAGCAACATATCACTGTCTAAATGCACAAAGCTATCTCTGTATTCATGCTGAAGCCCAAAATTCAAGACTCTGGCACATACACAGGAAAAAGACCATACAGCAGATGAGCTGACAGAGCAGGGTGATTTCAAATGGGAGGCAAGAACAGCACTT